CTCCTGGCACTTAACAGCATATACAACATTGCTCTGTTTGTGCCGGGGCACCGGATCTTTTTTTTTTTTAAAACAAGAACAGTTCTTTAATATTGTAATATTTTTAATAGTTTTTTCATGAAAACTTTTCCTGTATAAGGTGTAACATTTTTATTGGCCAACTAAAACCTTGACTCCGCCCATAACAGAGGCTTTAAAAAGCTTAGCGCACTCCCAATCTCTTAGAAGACAAAGAAGAAGTAGCAGAAAAAGACCGACAGAGAAAGAGAGTTTTTCAACATCAGAAGTCAGAAACAGCTTTCCAGAAGCTCAGCAGAGGCCCTGCCTGCCAGCCCCTCCCCATGGGCTGGGCAGGATGGTGGCCATTCTGCATCTCTCGCTGGTTTAACGTACAGCCACCGTTTAATATCGACTCWACATCTGAGTTTGATTTTATAGAAGTTAAATAAGCTAATTGTAATTCATGTGTCGTTTTTAGTTTGTTTTCTCTACAAAGTTGAAATCAAATTAAGAAGTTTTGCAGCCGCCTGGGGAGGACCAGACCACGTTGTCACCAGGGAGTGACCCCCTTCTATGACCAAGGGACCAGTCGAGTTTTACAGGCAAACCGCCTGACATCCAGCTTGCATGGAGAGCATACCTGGGAGACGACCCCCAGAGATGACCTTCAATCGCTGACCCCTCCTGGTACCCACACGGCAGAGCAAAAGGGTAAAAGTGAACATTTGTCCTGGTGACACACAGGTGCTCAGACGTAATTTGATTCTTATCTTTGTATGAGATTTGGTAAACTAAACAATTTTTCTCCCTAATTTAACTAGGTGTCCTTAGTTAAATCCACAGTTAAAAGCAACTTACCTCACCTCACTCCAAGTCTCAAACTCACCTCTCAGTGTTTATTTTACGTTTATTTGTTGTTTATTTATTTGTTTGTTTTGTTGTTATTCACTCGTGATTGCAAACTCTTTCAGTTTTTACATGGTTCAATTGTCATCATTCCTTACTCACCATAGTTGTAAATACATTTAATCTGTAAATAAATGGCCCGTGGAGAACGTGCCAACATAAGCTAATGTCACTTTTGTGTCTTGATAAAATTGGTTCTGATAAGACAAGAACTCATCAAACCATTTTGAGTACATTTATTGTGAGACTGATTACAAGAAAGTTACAGGTTTTCGTCTCTTTCCTGGGTTAATCCTTGACCAAATTAAGAGTGTGGTGCCTCGAGGTAAGATAATTTGCGTATTTAAATAATTCACAAACTATCCATTTTAGAATATACCCAAAACCCCTACATAAATATTCAGATATATGTAAATTTTTATAATTGAATCTGAGCTGTATAAATGCTCTTTATCAAACAAGTAGCTCTTTGTGTTACTCCCCTGAAGTAGCTCTCAGTTTCAAAAAGGTTGGTGACTCCTGTCCTACAACAATACTTACCATATTATTCACCATTCTGCCTTTTGGTTTTAGAGATTAGAACAGGCATTTTATGCTGGTGCTACAACTTTTTGTTCTGTGCTACAAAATCAGCAACCTCTGTAGCACCGGTGCTATGAGCTAAAAAAGTTAACGTACAGCCCTGTGTCGCCACCTATCTTGGTAACACGTTCTCACTCCCTGTTCGTCATATGTTTGACGCTTTGCCAGGGTACCCTCAGCATCCCACGTATAACGTATATGGCGCCCCCTTTTGTCAAATAATGAAGAAAGGGGGCGCCCTTATGCGGCTGTCATAGAATGTTATATACAGAAAAGAATTAAGTTATTTTAATGCATTTTTGCGCAGCATTACACTATAATTGGCAGCCTATGAGTTACCTCTACGTGAGAAGCTTTTTTGCAGATGTGGAGTTCACAGTTTTATAAGGTGCAAGTCTATTTGTGGATTATTTCTTATTCCAACCTATATTGTTTCGATAGCCTACAAAATCAATTCATTCATATCTCGAGTCAGGAAGGTCGTAGCTGCACAAAATGTGAACGCCAGAACGTCAGGCGCACATGTTCAGTTTTCCCACACGGTAATCTCAGCGGGTACATTGACAGTCATCAAATCTGGAAAAGCTGTAACTAAAGTTTTTCTTTTGAATATGAAAAAATAAAAGAAAACACACTGCAGTCATGAATAAACTAGGGTTTTTTTTAAAGATATTTTTCAGTTCATCAGCAGCCGCTTGTGAATGGAGCGAAGTCAGCTGACATTAATTTTCTGAATCACAGTGTCAGAATTTGTGGCACATTTTCTGAGAAAAAAGAGGGATGTTACTTTTGTTAATCATTTGTTGTATTTTCCTGTCATAAAAAAACAGATTTGGTCAACTAAGTTTAATTGGCAACGATAAGACTTTTTTATTATGACAAAGTTTAATTACGCATCAAGCTTTACCTGTATTGACTCATAATCAAGCAACAATTAATTAGTTAATGAAATTTTCACCTGTGATTGTTTTATTTAAATCATTTATTAGGAATGATGATCATAGTAAATCCAACTGCTTTTTAAATGACCATGAAAAAAAATTAAACCCATGTAAATAATATCTACACTGAAGTTTGGAACAGCGGGTCAGAAACCTGCTCTGAAACGTAGTCTTTTTAGCAAGAGATGGTGAGTAAAGCAAACGGTTTAAGTAATGTAGTTAACAACAAACTTTATTTTGATGGGGAAAATGAGGAAAATGACACATTTCCTCATCTGACTGCAATTTCTCCAAAGCGACCTGTCATCTCTCAGCGCAACAACAAACTCCAGCTGCCTTTGGACAGGAAAAAAAAAAACCTCTGCACAATTATTTGTCTACCCTGACAGCAAATGTTATCTGCTCTGGGCCAAATACAGGTGAGCATTTGGCCCGGACCTGTAAAAGGACCATGGGGCCGTTTTTTTCTTTCTTTCTCCACAACCTGTCAGTGTGGATCTGGAGAGCGGATGGTGGTGCACAGGTTTGGGACAGATGTGGCACAAATACAAATTTCTTATTTTATCTTTAGGCTGCTTTGGTCGACCCGGATGGGATCAGAGCCAAAACGTTTTTAGCAGGTTCATCAGTCAGACCCAGAGCTGGCACCAGGGACGTGCACAGGTAGACGTCAGGTGGTGCTTGAGCACCTGCCCTTTTCCCTCCAGACCAACAAGTGCCTATCCGTGCTACTAGTTCTCCATCAGAGAGAGCTTTCAGCACTGSAGGGAACAKKGYCACRTGCCACAGGGCAGCCCTCAAACCAGATGCTGTGGACCGTCTGGTTTTCCTTGCCCACAATTTGTAAAAGTTCAAAATGTGTGAAAACTGTTCTGAAAATACTGCAGTCAAGTTGTACTACTATACTTGAATACTAGAAGTTTCACACTCATTGTTTATTGTTTAAATATTTTTATTCAATACAGGCAGTTGCACACTTATTTATGTTTGTGTGATTTATAGAATAAGAGAGTAAGATGTTTACCTTGTAAATTACCTGCTTAACAAAAACAAAGTTACATACCATATTTTTATATATTCTTTTCAAAATGTGTATATTGAAAACTAAAAACAGGTTTTTGTTGTTTAAATATTGTTATTTAATAAAGGAAAAATGTTGACTGTTTAAAACTTTTTTATAATGCAAGTCATGCTGCTCTTGTTTTGGTTCATTATTTAAACACTTGAATGCTAGAAGTTGCATACTTATTGTTGTTACTGTTTAAATTTCTAATCTCACTAGGTTAAATGTGTATTTTGTTCAAGAATCATTCAGTGCAATAGAAAAAGCACCCTGAATCCTTTTGGTTTACATTATATAAAGATACATAGAGACATATATGCATACTAGATAGATATGGACCTTTTCATTGTTGTATAAGTTTTATGAATCACTGCTTTAAAGTTGTTTTTTGGAGGGGGGGGTGAGTTCAATAAAAGTTCTATGTTTACATTACAACAGTCATGTTATGTGATTCCTTCATTGTGACACTGCCCTGATTACAGTATCACTTCTAGAAAGTCTGTAATATTGTGTGGAAGCAACAGCGTACTAGTCACTTTATTGCAGTAGTTTTTCTTTTAGTCAGCAGAAAATGTGGTTAACAAACACAGATAAGCATAAAAAGAAAAATACCGTAAAATACCATAATTGTTAAAAATACCGTGATATACAATTTTGGTCATATCGTCCAGCTCTAATGGAAACAGCTCTATGATGGAGAGACTGAATGAAGATCCTCCATAGACATAACATGAACATAACTTTGCTAAACAGTACATACATCTATCCTATTATTGGGCCTCCTTTATTCATTCACCCTTCTATAATCAGACTCAACAGCTGAAGATGAATTTGTAGTCACAGGGAATTCTTGTCACAATATTTAAACTGAATAAGGAGGAAACTATATTTGTCTTTTAGAATTAATAACAGTTTAAAAAAAATAGTCTTTTCCACTACTGAGTCCGGCTCCTCTCGGCTCAGTTCGGAGCAGTAACGTCTTTTAAAAGTAGCTGCTGTTTATCGTTGCTCATTCTGTGCTAAAGCTAACTGTTGACATAAAAAGTCTGACATTTAGTCTGTAAATAATACTCATCCCCTGCTACAGCAAACCGTTGCTTATAAAGGCAATAAAACAAAACCAAAATGGTTTTCTAATAAATGAACTTACAGTTACTGCACACTTTATGCCTAGAAGTGAGTAAATATGCTGATATTTTCCTTATGGATTTAACTCAATGAAAAACAAACAGCAATGCTGATAGTGTCTTTATTTCAAAAAATAAAAGTCAGACAATACTGTATATAACTACATTTTAAAAAACCACAAAACCACCTTTAAAAAGAACTTTAAAGTCCGAACATATCAGGAGCAGCTCTCCTGTAGCTGCCCAGCCCCTGGATGCCTCGACATGGATAGCGGGGCAGCTGGTACAGATAGGTGTAGGAGAGAGTGGAGAAACGGTCCGGGAGCTCAGCTGGTCATTTGTCGAAGGTGACTCTGAACAAAAAAAAAAACAAAGATTACCCTCGAATACAGTTAAAATTAATTACTAAATACAATAAATGTATAGCTGGGGTGTTGTTTCTAGCCTAGATTGCTAACTAGAGTTAGCCGCTAGCTGCTAACTAGTTATCATTGGAAACGAACACGCACAAAGGACACATCAGAACAAACTTTATAAATAAAAGGTACAGTTTCACAAGCGAGACATGTGTCCCATAAATTACGTTCAATATCTCACTAAATGCACGAAGCACTCACCGTCTGCAGATGAAGTTTGTGAAGAGTCCAGTCTACAGTTAGCAGCAGCCAGAACGGTGGCTGTAGAGAGATCCCCTCCATTTAACTAAAGCAGTTCTAGTCCCACTGCTTTGAGCCACTCCGGCTGTTGTTGTGGTTCTTCACTGCTCTGAAAACTGGCTCTATATATTTTTAGCTTTTCCCAGCGCACTGCCATCATTTGGAAAATTTCAACTTGCTCTTCGTCATCCGTGACTGCTACACGCCTCGGCACCACCACGCCCCAAACGGTGCCGGGCGGCCTCAGTACCAGAGCCCTATAGAAAGAGAGTTGCGACACTCTTTGAACCAGCCGACACATGGTCACGTGGTTCATGGA